TCATGAAGGAACAAATGATACTATTAGTTAAATGGGACTGCGCAATATGAAAATACAGAAGTGCAGCTTAAAAATTGAACAGCATGTAAGAAATATAATATATTTTACCAGCAGTGGGAAATAGACAAACATTAAAAATTCAATGATATATCCCAAATATCTAAATAAATAAATAAACAAACATTGCTGTTCAACCGATTGATGTGAGAATGCTCGGTGGTTACCTTCAAGAGCACCATTCTCTCTACTATCCTTTGCAGTAATGAGTTCTGTGCATTACTTTTGCATAATCTGACCATTTTTTTTTTAGGTACTGTACGTTGTGGCACTGTCTGAACTCTGATTTCCTAGCAGGTTTTATTAGGAAGAATACCAAGTGGTTTCAGGTGATTTCTTAGCAACCATCCTGGGAATAAGTGGTCTTATGGTTCCCAGAGCAACAGCCACATTTGCTTGTTTGTCATAAAAATGCGAAAGCCTTACTTCCCATTCAATTTGGAAACACAGTGCAAAGTAAAATGCACCTGTAGATGTTCAGAGAGTTGTGTTCCTGCTGCACAGGCAGTGAAACAGCAATACTGTGGAAGGAAGGGTTTGGGTCTGTGCTAACTTGGGTTTGTTTTCGTGCTGTTTTCCTCTTTAAAACGTGAACATTTAATGAGGTGCTCTGAATTGTAATGCTTTATGATGTTTCCTGTTACTTTAGTGATGGACTACAAAACTCCTTTATATTATAGAATCATAGAATGGTTTGGGTTGGAAAGGACCTTAAGATCATTCAGTTCCAACCCCCTGCTATAAGCAGGGATGCCTCACACTAGACCATGTTGTCCAAGGCTCTGTCCAACCTGGCCTTGAACACTGCCAGGGATGGAGCATTCACCAGTTCTTTGAGCAGCCTGTTCCAGTGCCTCACTACCCTCAAAGGGAAGAACTTGTCCTTATATCTAACCTGAACTTCCCCTATTTCAGTTTAACTCATTACCTCTTGTTCTATCATTACAGTCTCTGACGAAGAGTCCCTCTCAGGCATCCTTGTAGGCCCCCTTCAGATATTAAGAGTTTGTAAATGCTATTAGACAGTTATTTAATTAGGAGCCAATGCTGAAAGTTTCTAATAAAATCTCCAAAAGCGCTTTAGTGGCAGAGGAGCCAAATTTTCAACAACCTGTATTAATTGTACAGAGGAGAGAAAGGGAATACTGTAACAGCACTGTGCAATGCCTGGCCAGGATGGACTTAACCACCCAGCTCACAATTCTGCACTGACCCAGTTACGCTGGCTTGATCCCAGTGGTACCTACCTCTCAGTTCATTACGGCTCCTCTCTGAGCAGTATTTGGAGTTTTACCTTCTACATTAAAAACAAAGGTCAAGCCTCTTCACTGAGAGAAGAGCTTCAAAGCTTACCTTGGTCTCTGTACTCCCATCTCTGTCCTATTGTTCATGGCCCTGCCTTCCTCATGCTTTGTACACTAATTCTTTTTGTCCCTTCTCCAGGTGGAATTTTTGGAGACTTTATGATACTTTCACTGAACTTGAGCTGTCCACATAGTTAGACTTCTAACCCAAACCTGTAGGCTTTTCAAGTTTTCTTCTCCCATGATGAAACATGCAGACTTTCAAGTTTATGAAAGTTAGATGAGAAAATATACATGGGGGAAGTTTCAAAACCAGGCTTAGAAAAGAGATTGTTTACCAGTCTGTTATGGAGGTGCTCACTGACTTTCCAGTACATTGGAAAATGTTCCAAAAAGCTGAATACAGACTGAATTACCACATCCTTAAAGGGACACGTGGCCCCCTCATTTTGCTTCTGTTGAGGGGGGAGAAAAAATTGAAGAAAATATGTGTAAGCATCTAGCAAAGATGGAACATTTGCTTGCTTGCTTGAACCAATACATGAGGGATTTCTCTGTGTGGCTTAACGTACAGTACTGGTACTTCTATGGAATGTTTGGGGAGTTTTTCTCCTTGGGAACCATGAGCAATAAGAGGGCAGCCTTGACTGTTAATTTGCATTAAAAGAACATTGGGTATTCACCAGCCAAGTTTGCCAGATCAGTTTTCCCATTTGACACACTCTGACTCTTGGGTGCCTGATCCTGCAGCTTTGACTTCACTAAAGCCATTACATGTCGTATTAATAATAATAATAATGAAGCCTGGCTTTACTTATGCATTTATTCAAATCGTGCAAGGAATACATATCCTGGTTTCAGAGAAAGTTGCATTTCAGGATTTGAGCATTCTGACTGTGTCTCTTTAAATATTTGGATACGAATAAATGGTGAGAAAATTATCTTTGCAAGCTTCAAACCATTCTAAGTCTACTGTGTTGCCTCCAGCCACATGCTGTCTGATGCTGCCTAGACAAACCAGGGCAAACCATTATCATGGGATTAAACACTAAATACCTGCAAGGAGCATTCTCTTTATCAGATAGCGCTCTGTTAGCAGAGTTCATTCACTTTATTGCATATATAACTGTGGTGTCAAATAGACTGATTTACAACACCTGGTCTTTTACATAATCTTTGCTATTTGCTGTGCTTGTAATCTGCCAAATCATTTAGCCTTCCTGATAGCAGAAATGCTGTAAAACTTAGATAAACTTGCAGAAGAAATGAACTCGAAGGTACTGCTGAAATCTAGGGCCTGCACGTTTGCTGTAAATGCACTGACTGGTTTGGTTTCCCCGTACCTAATCTGTGATTGAATGTGGCTGCTAGAGAAATTGAAATTTTATGATAGCACTAAAGTCAGAGGAGATAAGCATTTGTATGCTAGACTAGATTAATCTAAAAAGAAGTTTTAGGTGTGGCTAATGAAACCGGCGAATGTGTTAACTGGGTTTCTTCGGGGTTCAAAGCATCTGTGTATATCTATATAGAGTCTAGTCCAAAACTTTCTCTACGTGAGAAGTCTAATATAGCTATGTGATAGTTCTCACTATCAGTGCGGCTTACTCCATCTTAGGTTAGGGATATCTTTAAGGAGCCTTAGTTTTTAGAGGGTACTTTCTGAATACTAATGCAGGCAACAGACCACTCTAAAACGGGCTTGCTTGGGTGCCTAAAACCCCTGTGTCCTTCTGAAATGATTAGGGTGACTGTGAGGCATTATGTAGGGTTAGCCACTTACACGGTCCAACTGAAACAAAACAAAACTGTGGTTTCTTTGGTTTGAATCACGCATTTTTGGTGATGGGGGGTGATTTAAATAGATAATAGGAAGACATGTAGACAAGCTTTAAAAAGTGAAAAAGAAATCAGCAAAATGGGTTTCTGATTGGGTAAAATGCAAGTTAGTACATCCAAGGGAAAATAAAACAATCTATAGATAGTCAAATAGAGGAGAGAGCCCTGTGCGGCAGTAGTGTAGAGTCAGACTGTGTTAGAAATGATGCTAACCATCAGATTGGAAGAAACTGTAAGAACTGAAGGAAATGTAAGAGCTGGCTTTTGCAAGCAATCATAGCATGACTCCAGTGGTTGGCATTAGCGTCAATATTATCCCATCAGCACAACAGTACCACCTCCTTTGAGCTGAGGAAGTATATCAGTGTCTCAGACATAATTGAGTTACCTTGTCATGGCCAGTTTTTCTGATGATGCTGGGACATACTAGTCACTACTGGAGCTAATGAAGGATATTTTGCACAGAGTTGCTAATTTGAGGATAGAAGTCTTTTTGCCTGCTGGTGCTGCTTCATGGTGCTATTGGACAGCACAAGTGTTAACTCTGCCTCTGGGAGATACATTGGCCACTGCTAATCTTCCACATCAGTAAATTGATGTGAATGTTTGTACTGAAGAATTTTTCATCTCATCTGAGTTGAGGAACCTACCCAGCTGTCTCTAGTTGTTTAGCCTTCCTAGGCTCCCACTGTCCTGAAGGGAAAAACAGAGGGTTTTCTCAAAGCAGGAAACTGCTTGAGATGTTTCCTCATGCTGTGGATGAACTCCTTCTGCTTACAAGAGAGGGACCCTATGGAAACCAGCCAGTTACACTGATATTTTAGGTTGGTGAAGCATGTTCCCTGCATGTAATTCATTGAATGTGTGAATTATTTCAGAGTTGTGAACATTGGGCAGGTTGATGCTAACAACAGGATGGAACTTCAGGGTAAAACTCTTGAGTGATAGCTCTTAGACTGGAGAGCAGAATCCCTGGGGAAACAGTGGAAATGGTATTGTTTAAGACATTTAAAGTTAGACAGGAGAAAATATATTGTAATGATCAGTCCTGTGCTGGTATTTAGATCAGGTCTTGTCTTGTGTGAATATTAATAGGAAGTCTCTATCTGAAGTAACTACCATTATTCAGCATGTGTTACCACCTAACACTGGCTTGCAACCTTCCCCCACATCCGTACTCCCACTTAAAGGACAGCCTGAATAATGTTTAGCACCAGTGCTTTTTCTCTTGGTGCCTCAAGTGTTGATTTTGTATTGCCTTGCTTAGATTATATTCCTTCAGTGCTTCCACCAAACAGACTCCATATAGTGCACAGAGATTTACAGGAAGCACGTGTGGTTTGTGGCAATAATAATAAAATCTCCTGCTGTTTTCAAATCCCTGAGAAACTAAATCAAGTGTAGAGGTCTATTCAAAAAAGTGCAGCATGTGAATAAGTCACTTTACCATTACTTGTGTGGGTCTGCCTTGTACCTGTTCAGTGTATTTCACTGTCATATCTCTGAAGTCTGTCCTCAGTCTCTGGAGTGCGACTAAGACATTACACACCTCAAATGGAAAAGCTGATGAAACAACTTAAAATAACCTGAGCACCCATGCTTTGCTCGCCTCTTTTTTCACTACCTCTGTGTTGGTATTCCTCATAGGAACCCATACAGCAAAATTGGTTCTGTGCTAGTGGCCCCCATCAGACAAATGTAGGTCTAGTCTGAATTACAAAAGTGGGAAGACTGGATTGAATTCCTGTTGTAGTGCTGTGATGCTTAATGGAGCTCCATTTTCTTGGTGTGTTTCTGTAGGTGCGAAGACTGTCTTCTTAAAATGGTTGAAGCAATGAATCCATTATCTGCCTCAGGACACCTTTGCAGAGAATCTTATGACAGGAACAAAATGCACACGCCTCATCGTGTGAGCCACAGGCCATCATCGTCTTGGTACCAGACCCCTTGCAGCCCCAGAAGCAGAGCGGATGAGCTGGAGGAGATCCGGCTCCTCGAGGAGATTTTCTTCATTTGACATGCCTCATTGGTCTTTAATTTTTATGTCTTTTTAGGACCTCTTTATTGCTGATTTGTTTGTGTTAAAGTGCCATCTTTAAATTATTTGAGTGACAACTGTTTGTCTTTTCTCTTCTAAAGCATAGCTGATTAGCATCCAGTTTCATTTTGGATTTAGTGATGGTGCTAGAACGTTGTTGGGGTAGACCAGTCAGAAAGCGTTAACTTTTTTTTTCCTGAATCTTTCATGTGCCAAGGTAATCATTCTAAAATATGAATTTTTTAATCTACAACATTTTCTAATAGGTTGAAGTCATAGTTTTGCCAGCCTCATATGAGAAGTATATTTCATTATCGATTTTTACCTCTGAAGCAGTTTGCAAGAACTGCCTAACATTCAAGAACCAGTAGGTTCAAAGTAGATTATTTTCTAATTAAACAAGTCTGTTTCAAACCTGGCATATTATATTATAGATGTACAAGCACTTTAGTACTTTTTTTCCAGTGATTTTATTATCTGCTTTTTCTGTCAGCATTCTGATATTTAAGACTCTGGGGTTTTAGGGGATATGTTGTAATCTCAACTATACAGTGTCTAATAACATTAATAGAAGAGTTGCAGGTTGATGTACTACCCATCTGTTTGAACTACGTTCCTCTTTACATCAGTGCTGTTTGACAGAGTTTATGTGCTGGGTAACCTAACCCAGAAATAGTAGAACACAGTCAGACATTGTAGTGGTCCAAAACTTATCTGATGTAATTTTCAAGATAAAATATATTATAGTGGTAGTATAAGAACAGTCTTAAGACATTTTCACTAATTTGCACTATTTTGATCCTGTACCCAGGCTCCATTGTAAATAAGACAAATCAGTAATTATTTCCACTAGCGGCTCACAATGCACATTTCCCTGATGGCTTTAATTATTCATGCTGTATCTATTTCAGTTTATTTAAATGCACTTCCATCTACTGCATGTACTTGGTTATTTAAAGAAATGTGCCGAATTGGTAAAAATGACTGCAGATTACAGGATTAATGATCATTTTCTGCACAATGCAGTGTTCATATTTTATTGTAACAGTAGCCATCGGCATGTGTTCCTAGAAATATGAGGCTAAAATACTCATTTTGCACAGTAAAATTGCAGCAAGGGAAAGGTAGAATTGAGCCAGTATGGGCAAGTTCTAGGCCATTTGCTCCCAAACACCACATCATGGGCCACTACAGCTTTACTGAGAGTCTCTTTAGGCAACCCAGCTTATCTTAATGGCAGTGAGTTGCTGTACCAGTCCTTGGGGTATTGCTGCTGCCTGCCTCGTACACTCTTACTCCTGTTTGGTGCTCTGCAAGGAGCTTCCAAGGCTCGCCAATGAGACCCACAGTGCATCTCTGATGAGAGCATCAGTGCAGGATATGTAGCACGTGCCCCTGGCAGCACTGTGCTCTTACTGCAATGAAACAAAAGGAGAATGAGGGGGAAGATGAACCTCAAGTTACTCTGAGCTGCTTTGTTCAGGCCCAGTCTTAATCACAAATTAGGTGATAGCCTTTTTGTGCATCCCAGCTGAGTATTAAAAGCTGGTTGGGGGAGTTTAAAGAACGGAAGCAGCATTGCTGGGCCAGAAAATGACTACTGTGGGAAGGCCCTACTTGGTCTGTCCTGCTGTCAGTGGAGTATTAGAGTTCTTTTGAATATGCCCATTTGCTGTTGAATGTTGCCCTCTCGTGAAGGCACATGTTTCTGCTTAAAGCCCCAAAGGTGTATTCAGTGCCCTGACCCAAGTATAGCAGGTGGGGAAATAGGTTTTCTCATTCTGCTGTGTAAGTAGTCTGCTTCTTTAAAAGGGCAGGGAAAAGGAAGGGAAAGAAGAGGAAAATCTACAAGAAGCAGCAGAAAAACTGTAAACCCATGAAGAAATGCCATCGCATAGATCTGAGGTTTTGGGGTTGATTTATGTGTTTTTTAGTTTTGTTCAGTGAATGGTGATGTTGTTGAGGTTTGGCATTTATAAAGAAAGAGTTCTCTGATTTCAGTCCAATTGCTATTCTTTTTTCCAGTTTGACTGAAACTTTAATTGCCTTTTCTAACAAGTGCTAACTGATCTTTTGAAACAGCAAAAAATACATGTATATCTCTTGAAAGGTGCCTTTGTGTACCCCGTCGAGAACACTGTGTGGGAACATTCTGTTCTTTGGTTCTTTGTGGGTGCCAATATTTAACTGCTTTAGAATTCCTTATGCTCCATTTTGTTCATTAACAATTCTAATTCCGAGGGTGACTTTTGTCTTGAATCTATATTTTGGTAGTAACTCTTTTTAAAAGGACATTGTCAGGGTTGCGGACTCCATGCACAAAGTGCTGTCCATCAGTCAGAGCTACATGGGAGGCATGCTTTTACTGAGCAGAGGTTTCTAGAATTAAGATGGTTGAAATGTCTAGTGGGTAAAGACTTGCATGTTTTAAGTTTCTGTGTGATGTGGATGAAGAAACAAAAGCTATTAATTTGGTAGACCCTATGAAAAGTCATTTTTTATAATGCTGGCTCTTGCTCTAGTTATCAGCAGTACATTAGGTACAGTGTTTAGCAGTCAGTGCAAGCAGAGATATTTTGCCATGAGGCACTACAAAGTTGAAGTTATTAAAACATTTATAGCCTTAGAAAAAAAAAATCAATGATTGTCAAATAGGAAAGGACAAAATCAGTAGCTGGGATTGGGAGGGGAATTGTTTTCCATCTGCTAAGACAGTAGAGGAAATGCAAAAATTAAACTAGCAAAAGCAATCACTTGACAGTGTCCTTTTAAGTTTAAGCCCCTATATTAGGAAGCTGCCGCTGGGGAGTTAGTGCAGCCATAGCTTGTTGTCCAGAGTGTTGCAGTTAATATGCTTCAGCTACACATCGGGCTGTGTTCTACATGACTTCTGCTGAGGCTCCTACCCGTGCCTTCACTTTGTGTTCTTCCCGAGTGGCTCATACATGCACCCCTGCTGTGTGTTTGTGTAGTCATTGCTTGTGTGCACCTCGCGTGCCGTGAGCCTATAGCAATCACACCCTTCCATTTCTAGCCACTTCAGTCTTGCTGTTGAATCCCATCTTGAGCATATATTTATGTATGTATGTAAGGTCTTAATCTAATAAATTATCTGCAAATTTCATTTCTTCTTCTAGAGTTTTATTTCGTGTATATTCTGGTTTGTTTTGTCAAACTCAGATGTCAGTTCTGCCATTGACAGTATGTTCCACTTTCCACATCATCTCCCTATATATGTTGTGAATCTCCAGTTTGCTAATACAGGTGAGGAAATCATTTTCTCATTGTCTTCAGGACATGGGTTTTGCTGTGATGAGGAGCAAGACTTCTTTTGGATCAGGAAGTGGATGAGAGGTCTCAGAATACCAAAGAGAGCCAGCATCATGGTTTGGGACAAAAAGGTGAAATTAAAGAGTAAGGAAGAAGAGATGGAGGTAAAGGCAAGAAAGGACAAGAATGCAAGGCAACAAGCTGTACCAAAGGATGACAGAAGGTTGAGAGGAGCTGAGCCAAATGGTAGAGATGAGATAGTAAGTCAGTGAAGAAGAATTTTGTGCTTATATCCCAGAGTGAAAAATATCTTCAAGCAATGATTCCCATAAGGGGCCTGTGACTCCCCACTCCTTTTCCAGATCATCTTCCTGCATTTGGAGAGCTACTGTCCAATGGATACCTGGTAGATGAGGGAAAGAAGAAAATTACCTAGCTTCAGCTGCTCCTCTATTGAGTAGCTAAGACAGGGAGGCCAGAGCACAAGGAGGGTAATAAGGTAGAATCCAGGTATAATCCAGGCATGGACTGAATTTAGCTGCTAGCAAGGGATGGTGTTGTGGACATAGGTGACAGAAGAATGTGAGACTGGATATAGGAAGAATCTGAATAAGGGAGAAACAAGCAAAAGAAAATTTGTAGTAACCCAATGAGCTGTGGATGTTTGCTGTTAAGGAATGAGAGGAAAGGGCTTAGCTATGCTTGAGAAAGATTGAGCCTGAGGTATCTAAAAGATATCCCTTGAAAGCACACATGAGCCCGGGGTTAAACTGTGAAAGTTGTAGAAGAGATTTTCTGAGATATGACCTGCAGGCAGCGTTTGAATTTGTACCGTCTGAGGGGGACGGAGCACGGCCAGGTTGGTTGGAAACCTCCTTTTTCACCGTTACCAAATTTATGAAATTGCGTGCTAATTAGTGTATGATTTATAAATTTACATAACTGCGCTCTACATGAGACAGCACAGAATATCAAATGAGGTAATTTAAACCCTGCTCTGGCTTGGCGCCTCTCCTCTGGATAATGCCTCTCCCAGTCCGTAGCTGCTCCTGCATCTCTTGAAGGCCTATCTGCGCACAGTGACAATAATACAACATTGTGGATCCATGTAGCTGTAAGAAAACAGGCTACCTTGAGCACCTCTGGCATGGTTGTGTGGCAGAGTTTTCAGTGTGATCTTTGGGGAGGATGAAGCCCAGGTCAGATCTGGGAGCCCAAGTCAGCTGAAAAAGAGCAAGAAACCCAACTTGGTCTGGTAAGTGTTGGTGCTTGATGTGATAAGGAGCTTGTTGGAGGTTGATGACTCCCCAAGTTGTTCACAGGGATGTAACTGCATTACAACTGCAGCAAAATGATGGGGACATGGGAGAACTGGATTTAATTCCCAGCTCTGTGGAAGCCACTTTGCCTCCCTCAGTAGCATCCTTTGGGTTCTGCTGGTGAAGCGTGTTTACTACCGCATCTCAGAGGGGCTGTGACTTTGCTATTACTGTATGCAGCAGAAGCTGTTGGACATACCCAGGAACAATTTGCCTGTGAACCGTAAGCTGCAAGAGCAGAGGCAATTGGCCAGTCATTCCTATCTAAAGGCTGAAACTCTCAGACTTCTTAGTCTATTTTCAGGCTTGAAGGGGTCATTCTAGGCACTAGGGGACTAAACTGGAGAAGCTTGGAAGTCAGTGACAAGTGAGGACCTGATGTACATGAGGTGAGAGATGCCCACACGGTCCCACAGACAAACCAATCCACAAATGGCTGTGGGAGCCATACATTACCAGCTTCCTTGATTCAGGAGTCAGCCTGTGTA